TTTCAGTTTCACAAGTTAGGAATACTCCACTTTTATGTAGTGTTGATGTAGGGTTGTATGATACACCCCACGCGCCTTCCCGCGGGTTAATTAACATTTTCCCAAATGCAACCTTTTTGGTCTCCGAGAACCATAATAAAACGTTAGCTTTTGTAACAGGTATTTCGTAAATTTATAATTATTTGCCTTATTTTGCGAATGTAGTACCTGGGATGAGCATGAAGGGCAATTGCCTAGTTGCTGGAAATTTGGGAGCTTCATTAATGGAGCATTTCCACTGATACGATACATGACTTTTGCGTCTGGAAGTTTTACAATGGCAACGATTTTAAGAGTATCATTTGATGAGAGTTTTAAGGTTACCATCAGTTTCACGATATAAAGGCAAGACAATGCTCAGCTGAAAAAAAAATAGTGTAAAGTTTTAAGAACTGGGTTCCAAGACGCCTTCATAACGGCGGATATAACGGATCTATAATATTAACGGCTTTATAACGGATAAAGGTTTCTGCATTTTTATGCAAGTCAGCAGCTGTCTGTTGTGGTGGAAAGATATGGTTTCTCAAACGCATCTTCCAATTATTGAGAAGTTTTTTTTTTCATAAATTGATCCCCAAAGGAAGTGACATAAACTGGCTACCAAGTAGCCCAGATGTAGTTTTCCATCTATAGAATTTTTCATGTGAGGATACCTCATATCCGAAGTTTATGATAACAGACTTCGCTGTTTAAATTAATTACAATAAAATAGTCTGCGAAGAAACGATAGCGATCACGTGCCGAGCAGCGATCAGTGGAGCACCGGGAAATTAACTGTTCGTATTTAAAGAAGGTAATTTTTAAGATATGATTTTATTAGACCTATGGTTTGATTATATTAAAATACTTTTAGTACATCAGTTTATTTTTATAACTAAAAATAATTTAAAGAATGAATTTATTGAAGGGATATCTGATTTATATAAAATTATTTATTAAAATATTTCAATTTAAGGGTTGAGACTGCTCTCATAAAATTCTCTACTTTATTTAAAACCGTTTTTTAGAAGTACACTTAAAATTACTGAAAGCAGTCTAATTTCTATTAAATGTTAGATTTTAATTAAAATTTTGTACCTGTTCGCCTACGAAATCGAGAGAATTTTAACTTAAATCTACGCAAACACAAAGTGGCTGTCTTGCCTAATTTTAAGTTTGAGATATTTCTCTTCTCTCTTTGTAGAAGTTCATTCTTGGGATCAACAATTAAGAAAATAAAGCTTTTAATATAAGAAAATAAAAGCAACAGTTCCTTTGCTGACAAAAGTTTTGGATTTAAAATTATTTACGCAACATAAGTTACAAACTGAATTTTATTATTAGATGTTAAAAGTAATGGAATAAACATTTAAAAACTCCATAACGAGAAGGAAATTTTCTTATCTATCTTCCATTTTTCCTCGTGAAAGTATAATTCATCGATTCATTCAATTCTCTCCATTGTTTTCATAATACCAGTTTTTCCTGTATCTTTTTATGATTCCTCTAAAGATTATAATCGTAGACTAAATGCCAAGACAAATTTGTGATTAATATCGCATTTGCTTACAGAATAGGCAGTTTTTTCTTCATATTTTTCCTTTTCAAACTTATCACTATAGAAAGACATAAGCTAATCTGTTAATCGTCAAAGTATTCACTAACTGTGTGCCATGAGTAAGTACCCTTCACAATAAAATTGTCCATTATCTAAAATTTTAAGTACGAGCTAGAAGTAGAGCTTATGTTTTCTGCGAGCTAAAAAACTGATTTAACTAACAGCTTCTCTGCGAGCTAGAAAACTGACTTAACTAATTAACAGCTTTTCTGCGAACTAGAAAACTAATTTAACATCATTCAGTTTCATAACATTAGTTAACATCATACAGTTGACATTATACAGATTGCATTATACAGTTTCCTATGAGGTAGAAAACTGTTACGTTTGTGAGTTATGTTTCCCCAGCTTTATTGCATTGTTTCTGATTCATTGCACTTCTCCGTCCTCATTCATGTCAAAGCGTAATTTTGCTGAATTATTGAGTAAGTTTTTAGAAATTTCTTATTCCCCTCTCCCATTCAGTACTTCATTACTGACATTATTCAGTAATACACGCATGGTCAACAACGAATCGTAAAAAATAGAGAATTTAGACAGAAATATGAATTTCGTATTATCTATAATCTTTTATACAAGAGTGTTTCTAGAATTATGAATATGCATTCAATGTATTAGTTCATTTTATTACATATCTTATATTTAAGTACCTCTGTGAGTAAACTTTTTATTAAATTCTAAGACACTTTCACAGAAAGAGTGTCTATAATTATAAGGTTTTTCTTCCGCCTTCTTAGCATGTCTTCGTGGTGTAATGATCAGCATACTCGTCGCGTATTCGAGAGGTTCGAGTCCCGGAGAGGACATTGCTCATTTTTCATCTCTCTCCTGCTTTAATGCTTTAAAAAAATATCACTAAATAATTATTTAACATTTTAATAGATAATTACAAAATATTCTCTTTTTCTTTACTTGCGTACTGTAATTTACAGCAAGGAACTTTAAACAAGTATACTTTACACATACAATAAATTTTGAATTTACTGCCACATATAATAATCATGTAAAATCATAAAACGTTTAATTAGGTTATAAGGTATTTCTTCCGCCTTCTTAGCATGCCTTCGTGGTATAGTGGTCAGCATGCTCGGATCGTATTCAAGAGTTCCGTGGTTCGAGTCCCGGCGAACACATTGCTCATTTTTATCTCTCCTGATTCGAAATAACCTAATGTATCTACAAGGTAATAACTTTTAAAACAACTTAAATATTTCCCAGCTCTTAAATTTTAATTTTGATCCATTAAAGGATAACTATTACATTTGAACATTATTGTTAGTAATATTATTGATTAATTTATCATCAGAAATTAATGGTATGTATTTATTGATTAATTTATCACCAAAAATTAATAGCATATATTTATTGATTAATTTTAAGTGATACGTGTATTACAATATAAATAAGAGTAATATAAAAGGAAAAAAAATAATAAAAGAATACCATTTACCTGAGAGAATATGAGACACATGACGTAGCAGCAAGGAACTTTATTCCATTGCTTTCTCCACATAATTAAAGTCCATGTAAATATCTGCATTAAATTAGTTATTACTTCATTTGAGAATTTCATTTATGAAATAGATATTTTTTTGAGCAACGACTATTAAATTGCATAATTTACTTTTTAGAAGAATACATTCCTTTATTCAACATTTTAATACATTAATTTGGTATATATCAAGGCATTAACAATAAATTTTAAGCAAATACAGTAATTAAAAATAAGCAATTAAATCTCAATCATTTTTTCTTTATATCGTGGTTAGGCAGAATAGCTCTCGAGTGCATTACCATAATCAAACCAAGTCAAACTTTATTACGGTGGTTAAAGATTTTTTTTCACAAAAATCAGGTCTAGAATTTAATTGAAGTAAGTCATTTTTTCTCCACTGGCTAATCTTTTCTCCATCACTTGAATAATTCAGTTTTATTACCGTGCATTGTGTTCTATATTTTAAATTAATTCTACTGAAACTTAATTAAACCACAGCCCATGGTGCGTATTTATTGTGGACGTAAGTAAATAAGATGTAATAGTACTCTGAATTTGGGAAGAAATGTTACGTTTGTTACAGATCTCAAATTTTTTATATAATTTACTTTAAATCTTGTTATATCCATTACACTGTTTTAAACGATAAGTTACATGAACTACTAGAATTTCTTGTTATCATATAAAGAAAAGTCTATTTCATATTTGTTTTCATTAACGTGCAATCACAATAATCAGTGTTTGCTATTCTAGCCTTATATTTGCATAATTCAATTACTTCAGTTACAGGCATAAAGTGATTATGTTATGTCGAGAAACATGACATTTCTACTAGTCACGTATTGGATTTGAGTTATTTTTGGAACAACACATGAGAATTTTTATTATTTATAGGAAATATTTATCATTAAAAGGGCAAAATACGATCTTGGATAAATGAAAGGCTGTATTGTTACGTTTGTACGGGTTCGTGGATTTGTAGTGATTGATGACAAAGTGTAGTGATTGAGAATCAAAACACAATTTATTAGCCAGTATTACTCAGGATAGCTCCAAACACATGTTTACAGTCATCGAAAAACTACGACAAACACACTGAAACAATCAGCAACACAGCCTCCAGGCTATCAGGATATAACGATGAAGACAGCTTCACGGCAAAGCACTAGAGTTTAGTTCCCGACTCGGTTCGGTCGTTCTTGGAATTCAGCGTACTTTTGACACTCTCTACGCTACAACTCGCGATGCACTCGACAATACACTCGATAGCCTCAACGATACACATTCTCGTTGCACTCACTCATGATACACTGATGATACCCAATAAACTGCTACTCCACGTACAGGCAGGGTTTATATAGCTTTTTGGTCTTGCCTTTGAGAACATTTTGGGCCAAACCGGTAAGAATTCGTTCCAGAATGTTCTTCATCCGTTTATGACATATCGCCAATTTTGTCGCCAAATGGGCGATTTCGCTCCAAATATGGCAAACCTGCCTTTCTTTTCCATTTTCTGCCAACCTAAACCGCGGTAAGATAGAAGGAAGCTATCTTACCGCGGCTGGGGATTTCGTAACAGTCTATTTAAAGATCATTTATTAAAAACTGTGTCTTAAGAAACTTACTTTTATGCATACACATAAAAAATGAAACTTACAATTAAATAATTTTTTGACTGTAATATCGTTTACTTTTAAACGATAAATAACTCTGAAGTTTTGTTGGACCAAAACTAAAGGTTTGTTTTTAATATGCATAGGGAAAGATACAAAACGACCCAAGATTTAGCGCAATAAAATAGCTAACAACTGCAGCCACTAAACTTATTTGCTTCATACTGCTCTGTTCGCTTCACTGTATACTACTGGACCAACTATGTCCTTATTTAGACAGGTACATCAGCCGGCCGAGCGGTAAAGTCTCTGGATACTGGTAGTTTATTCCGGGGCTCGAATCCCAGCAAAGAGGCTAACTGCATGTGCGTTTTCGTGGAGTTTCCTCTTGCATAACGTGTGTACGAGCCAGCTGCCCTAAGAAAAATTCCCACAAAGGCATTTCTCCCCCTTAGGCAGATAGTTCTCTTGTGCTCTGCCATAAAGAAATAAACCAAACCCTATTTTATGCATGCGTAACTCGCCGATTTCATCAGTCAATCTTGATGAAGTTTCACGAAACAGGCTGTGAGCTATATATGTTTTACATATCACTTTAAAACATGAAATAATACTATTAACATAAAAAATACCGATTCTGCGCTTATATCTACACCATTTATATACATATTTATTAATAACTTATGATTTTAATGTATTGAAATTCTATGAGTGTTTTATTGTTACTTAAAATACTTACGTTACAAGCAATATTAATGCAAGCCATCCAAATTAAGCAATATTGCAGTTGCGGTACGTAATAGTTCAGCTCATGTTTAGCAGCAATTGTAAATCTAGCCACAACATACGACAAAGGATAAGATGCAAAACTGCATATAATTAAAGCCGCTCCCATCTGAAACGCAAAACGGGCGATTTTAAAATTAACTCTTCAGTAAAATTTTAATAAAATTAGCAGTTTTATTACCAGACATTATATTTTTTCATTAAAATACTATTTTATAACAATGCAAAATTATTCCAACTATTCGGATTATAAATATCCGGCACTTTGGATTACTTTTTCCTCTTTCTGGTCCAAGTAAAATCATTAATATTGATTTTCGTATCTTCCTTTCATAAACAAATTTCAATTTAATGTAGTACATAATTTTAAGAAGCTATTAAATTTATTTAGATGAATTCTATACACATGAATACTTATTTACATGAATAGTGCATACTAATTTTTAAAAAAATCAAAGAATGGTAATTTTAACCCAAATGATTTCTTATCGGATAAAATTTTGCTGGGCATGTACTGGGATTGCAAAGATTGAAAACAAGAACAATTGTGTCGGTATCTTCAAAATCAGCAACGTGAATTTAAGAAAGACATCTTTTGAATCTAGATTATTTTTTATATTACGTTTAACTGACGAAATGCATATACAGAGAATATGATGCATTAAATCTTATATTAATGATTAATTTTTATTCTAACTAAATATTTCATATAAGCAACATCTTATGTAAACCCATTTTCATTATTTTAGAAATGGTATTATTTATTTTCTTCAGATTTACATATTTTCTGTGAATATAATTCTCAGATTTTCTGTGAATATAGTTCCGATAAAGACAACGTACAGATGTCGACGGGAAAGCACAGCTGTGGGAAAAATATCCACTTAAAACATAGTGATTGTCCATGAAGTTAACTTGTTGATATCACAAGTGCTGAATAATGAAAAACATTTTCTTTAAAAACTGAACGACAACGCACGTCTGTTGGAGCGATATCTGTTCGAGGCAAAAACACTATGTCAGTTTATGCCCGTCAGAAAAAAATTCAGCTTTCATAAAATTTGAGAAAAGATGTTTGATGATAAGATGAGTGCAATTACACAAATAGTTTTTGATATTCAAATTTTTTATTTGTGTAATCTAATTTTTAAACAAAAAAAAAAAAAAAAAAAAAAAAAAACATGAAGCGACATACTTGAGACTGTTGAACGTCAAGAAACTCAATCTGCTAGATGAGATTTTTTGCGTCATCAAAAACTATGGATTCAGAGCTTTTGTAAAGGTCTGGAAAATGTCTAGCATTTGATCATTCAATTTCTGAGATTTTATATTTTTAGAATAACGTACTCTGTCAGTTCTTCTCATCAGTCCCTTAAAATGAAAAACATAAATGGTATTATTGTTGCTAATTTCTTCTAAGAATCCTATCGCAATTTTCCCATTCTTATCAATCAGATTATCTTTTCTAATCAGCTTCTCATCCCCATAACACTTCACTGGAATGTTTTTGCACTTTTAGCCACAGAATAATTGATAGTTGTAATATTTTGCAATGACTGAGCGAGGGAAACTTTCAGTGGAAGCGCAGATGACATCTACTCTATCTCATCTACTAACAGGGAAGGTATGTCGGAGTCACCGCCTGAAACTAAATATTATTCTCCTAAAGAAGTCTCGATATATCACCTGTTATAAAGATGGTAAACACATCGTAACGCATTGCCCATCGAGATTCATATTTCATCAATAACAATAAGAGCTGTTTCTCTAACATGATTTGCTTTATTCGGTTGAGGCTTTATTCTTGAGGTGTAGCATTTTTTCAATGGCTATTAGTTTAAACGCAATGTGTGTATTCTTTCTTCTGTTTAGTAAATATGCTGTTATTCCGGTTGTTCTGAATGATAGACTTATATTTCCCTCTATTCCGCAATTAACCTTTATAAAGAGATCTTCCTAGATTTTCTAGGACTAAGCAAAATATATAATTTATATCGTTCTTCTTAAAAGCATATATAGTTTTAAAAAATATTTCTGTTTGACATTGGCAATTTAAAACTCTTAAATTATAATCCATGACTAATTAAGGTTCTGTAGGCAGGTTGTGATGCAAGTTTGGGATTTTATTCAAATGCAAAACACGATGGAAATAATGAAGTAGTAAGTATATTTTTTCCGGCTAAATGTGCCACAGCTATCAATGGCATCTATAAACACACAAATACAAAATTTTTATTTAAATTTTCACTTGCTTATGTCCGGTAGAAGCAAGTGAAATTAAAATTTCACTTGCTTCTACAGTTCTTCCACAAGTACGAGGTTAAGAATCCCAGAATTTAAAGCTCTTGGAACCCATTCTATAATTCTTTACAACCTAGTGCCATTCCCTAATAACAAGCAAGGAATGTTGGAATTAAGAATCTTCAAAAGACAATGCTTTGTCTAGAGCCTAACACTGAGTTTATCCGGCTATGAGGGTAACTGTATCTTACATGTGTAGCTAATCGAAGCTGTTAGAGGGTACACCATGAGAGCTCAAAATCTGCTAGTTATATTTTTTTATTCGCATCATTGTACATAATTGTACTGTATCATTTTGTGGTAATTATAGTGTTTCCAATCATTATAAGGGGTATGTCAGTTCATACCTATGTTCACTGATAATACAGGTTTGTGAGAAAATGGCCTACAAAACTGGATTGTGCTGGGCTAGTAGCTATGCTAGGACACCGGAAATATCCTCGACACCTTATTTTTATTTCATTTAAATTGACTAGATGCATATGCATGCAAGTGATATGTAATCAAAAACCAGCGAAGGTACTAGATAGGATTAAATGCACATTGCTGAAGAATGACCAAAAAATGAAACAATTACAGTTTAAAAATTCCAAGAGTGGTTGTCAAAATATTTTACATTGCACTTAGTTATACATAATATATATATGTAAAGTAAAAATTATGTAAATGAAAATTATAACTGAAATTAACAGTAGTCCTTTGAATCTTAATTTTAATTTGGGTATTTCCCCTCTCTATTCCAAAAATAATAATTATTACCTTTTTCTTCATTTTTAGATTAATGCATTATATAACTTTTATATAACGATGATGAGGGAACTAATTTGGAGCTCAGAATTTCGAGAGCCGAATCTTTTCTCTGAATAAGTTTCCATGCTGGATAACCAAGCAGTTTGCTTTTTCTTCCTCTGCTGCTATGATGCTGCCGCGCTGCTTTCTACATATCGCAATATTATCAAAAATGTAAATGTGTTGAATCACATAAATTAGAATTAGATTAGAATGCCAAGTGAATTGTGGCGACATATGTCAATTGAAATTCAAATGAATATTCTGTCTGCTCCCGCTCCCAAGTTTAGTTTTGATCACAAATCAACATCTCAACATGTACGCAATCAACGTTTCTACATTATTACACACACAATATATATACAATCGGTCCCAAAAGTTTACAGACTCAAGTAAATTACATGTTTAAGAAAAATGGAAATGTATAAAATTACCTAATTTAAATATGTTTATTTAATACACATGTGCCTTGCGTCTAAGTAACTATTTAACAAAAATATAAATTTATCTTTTAGAAAAAATAAAAAGGGGAAAAAAGTGTGTCCCAAAGATTCGTAGATAAATTTAATTTTATGCAACTTGGTTAGCAACAATCATGGTAGGGAACTTGAGCCGCCCTATATATGATAATGCCCACATTCAAACCAACAATTCAAATAAGAAAAAGCCAAAGAAAAATCTAAAAAAAAAAAAAAAAAAAAAAAGATCATTTGAGCTGCTTTTAACTATGCCTAAAGCTAAGCAACTTTCTGATGCAGAAATTAATAGGATCCTGAGCTTTAAATTACACGGTTAAAGAAATTTTTGAAACTTCTGAATCGATCTATAAGCATGATTTACTGTGTAATGTCTCGTAAAACGCTACGTCAGCCGAAGCCACATTCACGAAGACCCCGAGTGACAGGCGAACACAAAGAATGGCTTCGGCACAGAAAACGTCAGTTCCCCAAAATTATAATAGCTTGTGGATTGCAAATATTCAAAAATATTGTTCGTAGGCAAATCAAGGAATCTGGTTATATAATTCACATAAAATCACTCAGTCATTACAGTTCTCAAAGGTTTACAAACGAATGAGATTGCAAAGGGCCCGTAATCACATGGCATAGAGTGGCAAAAGGATCTCTGCAATTTTCAGTGATGAAAAAACAGGGAATCTAAGTGGTTGTGACGAGTGTTCATATTACTGGCATTTACGAAAAGAGCCTGGGAGCTATTTCAGTTGGAGACAAATTCCTGCTCTGGTTATTACCTCTCAGGTAAATGTAGTCTGATCTCCAGGAGACCATCCAAACGGGTGTAGCCCCCGAAGTCCAGTCCGGGCTATATACATAGTATTGGAAGTAAAAATAACACGCAGTCAATAAAAAGTACCATGTCACCTTTGCAACCCGCCACCACTCCGCTTGCAACAATTAAATTCGATATGGTGTTCCATCCACTCAGTCCTCCAGCAAAAGACCGAATGGAGCCAATCCCCCAAGGAAAGCCTCGTATCTGACCATGCTGTGACCCCACAGCAAAGGGGCAGACAAAACAGTGCCATATGGTCCCTGCCGAGACTGCCTAAATACAAATCCTAGCCAGTATCTTCACCGATTTTCTGGCATGGGAGTTCTCCTCGGGAGGGATTTCAGTAGGAACAGCTAAGATCGATCTGTTATGGGTGTGGGCAGCTTTCGGTTTCAGCAGGCAAGTAAGTTTCACCGTCCTAGATAGTCGGAAGGATTAGTCTACATAACACTAAGAGACCATCTGGTGCCAATTTCTTAAAACATTGGGGGACAAAATGGAATATACCAACATGGTAATGCTCACATTCATACCTCTAATATTACAAAAAAAAAGTACTTAAACATGGAAATTGTCATTGTTCTTAAGTAGCCACCGATGAGCCCCGATTTTAACTCGATCGAGAATATGCGGTGTATTATGTCTCGGAAAATTTACGAGAATGGAAGGAGGCTTTCTTCCGCGAAATGCCTTAGAAGCAGCCATGGACAGTGTGTGGAATTAGTGTGTTTACAAAGCTTAGTTCTCTCCATGGAGAAAGTCATACGGAATAATGGGGGTACTTTGAAGTATTATATAATTTGAAATTGATCATAAGTTGTTGAAATGTAAAAAATTTTGATTGTTATTAAATGTAAAAAATTGATCACAAGTTGTAAAATGTAAAACATTTTATACGCATATTCTTCTGTGCAGAACGCATATTCTTCTTTGTTTTTATTTTTTCTAAAATGCAAATTGCTATTTTAGTTGAATACTTACTGTAATGCAAGTCGCATGCAATGTAAATGAAAAGTTTTTTTTTTTTTTTTTTTTTTTTTTTTTTTTTGTGTGTGTGTGTGTGTTTGTGTTCCTTTCCATTTTTCTAAAACACGTAATAGAGTTGAGTCTATAAACTTTGGGGGCAGTCTATATATATGATGTGTGTATATAAATATTGTTACGGTTTTTGTATTTAGTTTGCTATTTTTTATTAGAATTATAATTAAAATGTTTCATTTCTCGTGCAATGCTGCGCGTGACGAATTTCAAGAGAAAGCTAGGCCGAAAAAGTAAAAATACGGGAGTCCTAGCATTTAACATTTGATAAAAAATATCTCGTAATTATACTCTTCTGCTTTCCAGAAACCTCAAGAAAATAAAAATTACCAGAATGTTCTCGTGCATGATTAAAAAGCTTTAAAAAGCCGCACAAAAACATCTCAGTTCAGTTGTTTAATTAGTTCTTGTTGTTGATTGTAGCGAATAGCGGTGCGATCGGATTAGCTTTCTGTGCTTTGAATTGTGTTCTATTTAACGTTTTAGTAGTTTAAAATATAACTACTGTGAGATATTGCGATATTGTACGAATATGCCTGCGAAAATTTCAGCATTTTGTTTTTATTTCTTGAGATAAGAATAAATTTTATTAACTTTTTATCGACTTGTGCATTCAATCCCGTACGCACGCAACAATACGTAATATATATATATATATAATAAAAATTAACCTTAAATCACAAGCGATACATGTGGCATTTATCTAATATTTTCAAGATGCTGAGAGGACTACCACTAAATCACATTTTGGACACAGAAAATTTAATTTCTTATATTTGCAAACACATTTATCATTTAGTTAAGAAAAGATAGTTTTCTGAAATTTTTAATGTGGCACAAGGCATTTTCATTTTATATGATGGAAACCAAAAGAGTTAAGAGAAGTTATTCGTTCTTCTTATAATTTCTTGACATTTCAAAAATTACTTATGTTGCCGATTGACGAAAATTAAGGCTGTAAATAATTCAATGCTTTTTTATTATTAATTTCAGTTTTTAGATTGCCCATTATATTTGTCTCATCCAATTGTATAATCTGCATTATTGCAAAAACATCTATCAGTTCCTTAGTTTGAGTTATATGCATAGTTCTTTATTTAAATTTCTTCCGATAATTTTTAATAACTTTCTGGTTATTGTACAATGAGTAAATATCTTAATTCTTAGAACTTACCGATGCTAAGGGTTTCCGAAATTCAAGACCCGACAGAAATACCGCTGTTGATGGTGGTAAGATGCCGTACAGCAAAGCAAAATCTGACAGAAAAAGAGATGAATTGCAGTGTGTTGTTACAGCCCGCACCATTATATGTAATACCAGTGGTGTCACTATCCTAAGAAGTAAAATCATAATAAAATGTTTTCAGAGTTAAAACATACTCGAAAAATCCCATCAAATGCAACAAAATATACAAAAATAAAAGTAAAAAAAATATTTCACTGCATTTATTCAGATATATCTTTAAAATCATATTATTTGTTACTTTTGAACTTTGGCCTGATTTTTAAAGTAATACATATCCTTTAAAATATTTTCAAAAAGTGTTTTAAAAGCACTTATCATTTTATTACTACGATAAGGCTCACGAGTAGTACGATTATGGCATACTATTATTTTGTATAAAAGGACGTTTCTAGAAAGATCTCATTCTTAGAAAGTATATAAAGTAGTTTCTAGAATTTCCGCATTTAAATAATTGTGCTACTATAAATTAGAGAAGTTTTTTTTTCAGTGTTTCGTTTGTTTTATAGATTATAAAAGTGAGTTTATTTGTTTTATATCGTTGGGAATAACGATTGTAGCACTTTAGTTAAAAAATTATGTAATCACTCGTTGTTCACTCTCACACTAAAATGCTTCTCGTGATATGCCTTTTATATGGATATACTGTTAATTATTTTGTATTTACATTTTATGATTTATATAACGTAGAAGTAGTCTCAATTAATTAAAAGTATTACAAAAAAAAAAAAAAAAAAAAAATTCGAATTCGTCATTCGACGCCGTTTTGGATATCAGCAACTAAATCCTCATCTTTAAGAAAAGATTGCACTCAGAAAGAAGTAATAATAGCCACCTACTTGAACGAAATTAATCATGTAAATCCAGCTCTGTTAGACACGCCAGATGCTCATAGCGCAGATGACGTCAGCAAAGGAGAGGCTTTTCACCTGATTATTCCCACTTTGAAAGATCTTCCTGAATATAGATAATTTTTGTTTTGACTAATACCGTTGCATTGAAATCATCTATTAACGTAACATATTAAGCCATTTATACGTACTCTACATTAAGTTAAATAGCTGGACGCATTCGAAAATAGTCACATCCTAGGACTGTATCCTAAGAAGTGGATCATTCTGTCGTATTGCGTTCCATATATGTCGTGAGGATGTTATAGAGGATACACTAAATTCTAAAAGGGCACAAATACTCATGACATGCACGTTGAAGAAATTATTCATAGACTAAGCTGAAGGCAAATTAAGGATTTGTTCACACGTGCGTACCACCCCATACGCCACGGTTATGGACATTAGGTTAGCAATGTTCCTCCCTCCTCCTCTTCGAAATATCTGTGAAAGCCATTTAGCATAAGCAGACGACTGCATAAAGCTGTATGCAGTCATGCAGACCATTAAAAAACCACGACTGCTCCTAACATTATAGCAACGTCACCACAGTTCGTGTCCTCCCACAGTCGTGACTTAGCTCAAAGTATGCTGATGAGGTCCTTTGACCAGTAGCCTTGCCTTTTGTGCACACTCTCACCAATGCTCTATTCCAGCGGGCCAATCCTCGTCGTAATCTGCTGCAATGATTTTACTTTTTAACCATGTCACTGTGCTTTGACCAAATGCAATGCCAGATCTGTCCTCAATAACAAGCCTCTTCAATGCTATAGCACTTTCTTTCAAAACATCTCCCTTGCCATAAAATCTGCAAGAACAAGGCAGAGATCATGAGATCAAATCAACATGAATTAACTCAAGGATACGTTAAGGACATTTATGATTTCATGCCGAGACATGCGAAAGAACTCATTAGAAATAACGGTGGTTTGACTTCTTATTCAGAGTTAAAATGATTTTGTTAGTTTGTTCAGTAAATATTTATCATATTACTCGGATTTTATCATCACTTGTTGATTGTGATGGTTTTTAAATTCCTTCTAAATAACGTTTCATTGTTCTGGGCGCAAAAATGTTTTTTGACGATGAGTGCATTCTCATGTCTTTAAAATTCGAGATATTGGATTTCGAAAATTTTTGAACTTGTTGCTAAAGTTTGAGAAATTTACAAACTGATGATCTGAAGTTTGTAGACTTTATTGGAGATTTCTGAAAACATTCAATTTTCTGATATGGAACTTCTGCAGTGAATAAGAATAAAAATACAGAAAACTTCTTGATGCTCTTACCCATTCCTTAGAGAGCTTTATGTTATATGAAAGCTCATTCCATTTGGAATAAGTCAGTGATATCCTTTCTCATCTCATCTTTAACTCAAGTATGTGACATGGGATGTTATTCTAAGCTGTTTTCAGAACGCGTTTTGATTTTTCTTTTGTTGGTGTTCCTAACTTTTGTTTCAAAAATGAACAAAATGTGTTTCTCAGTTAAAATTTAAGTTTTAACTATTGTTTTACGGATGCTTGCTCTAGCATCTTTTATGGTATTGCAGCAAGCTTCTAGTCATTGTTAGAGATGTAAGCACATAAGAGCATTTACAAGGGTTCAGAATTCATAAAATAGATGCTTTAATGAAATCAAAACGGACGCTATAGCGTACCAGTAGATTCATTTTTTTCATGTAATTATTACTGAACCAAAGTTAAAACATTAAGAGCTCTTTAATCACTTTCACAGAGTCTATATATCTTTTTTAAAATAAAAAGCACTGTAAAGTATTCTGATAAAGTATTTGTAAATAAAAACAGAAAATCTGTTCTTTGATTTAACATTTATGTGTAAAGCATTTATGAAGATATTCTTACCTTACTTTAATGTCTTTAAAATATTAATAATATTTTCTCGTAGAAAAATGTGATTAGTTCAGATGATCCCGATGGCATTATAATTCAATTTTACACTCAAGTTAAAAAACAAAGGTTTTTATATGTCTTACCGCATTTGAATTTAAATTCCAGAAATTTTAAATGAGTTCTATGCTTAAATCGTAAGCTATAATTATCTTCAAAAAACATATCGGAACTTGAAATTATTATGGATTTTTAATTGATTAGAAATATATCTCAGTAAGCCATTTAACTAATATTATTATTTTATGTTAAATAGGGACTAACAGAAAAATGAATGCATTAAAATATTATTCATTGAAAACAGTACGATGTACAATAAAATTTAGAGTTTTCAATAAAACTTTTACACTATTTATGCAGCCGTACGACACGATGTATTTTACTTTTAGTCGCTAGATCTGTTCTGAAAATTTGATTGATATTAGTATGTAATTACTTCCACAACAAATTGCAGAAAATATTTAATAATGGTTTAAATGAGAACCCGTCAAAAGGCTAAGAAATTCTCGGAGAATCATAAGTAGCGTTTAATTCTCGCACCTGCAACATCATTCACAATGCATTTAGATTTTTGCCATATGAAATTTTCTCATATGAAAAATGGAGACATTTTGAATGATTAAACTAAAAGAAAAAAAAATTTGAAATGTTTCAGATTTTAAATTACGTCCAAAGGGGCGTTTTTTAACATTTTGTGTGTTACCTTTCTTTATTAAATATCATATTCCTCGCACTTAAACCATAAGATCCAGTGCAACAGCAATATCGCAAAATAGTTTTAAAACGAGCATATCTTTAGAATTTCCGATACAGAGACTCACGCGCTGGAGATAAAAATGTTTTTTTCTGCACAACGTTGCCATTGCTTGCTTTGAAATCCTTGAGTTTGTTAATCAAAAATTCGTCAAAGTTTTAAAAAATAGGAAATCGATCATAAAGCAAATTTCAAATTTCAAATTTGGTCTTCCACATGCTCATATTCGTTGGAGGATTACGTTATTCAAAATTCGATGACTCTATGTACCGTTATTTTATGACAATGTGAGAAATATACATACATTTACGCAGATTTTCATTATTTAATTTCTTCAAATATAATGCAGGACTCTAACATTTTATGGCAACAGTTTGAAAAGTGAACCGACATTTATCCATCCGACGCAAAATGCCAAAACGAAACTAATAGTCCTTCGGGATTCAAATCCCTTTGGACTAATAAAAAAAAGTTATAGAAATGTTCTTAGTTTAATCCTTTTGATTTTAGAATTTTATGTTATACTACTAGGGTATTCATTATTAGAGCGGCGAACTAATGTGAGTATTCCAAGAGATATATATAGTTTTAATTTATCTTCTTTGAGACCTGGCAAATAGTCACACAGAATTCTGACATTTAATATAGCATTAATTTTTAATGTATTTTTAAGCTTTAATTGTAGTCGTTTTAACAAGAGAAGCGATTTAAAAGCAACAAAAATAATTCTGAATAATTTGTATCTTATTTTAGCATGTATACTGTAAACTGCAAGATAATTTTGTAGCTGTATTTTTGAGTTGAATGCGCAATACGAGTATAAACTTATTTGTCCCGTCGATTTATATTGCCGATTACTATTATTCTTGTAGCAAATATGTGTTCATTTTATGTACTGAGCTCCTGAAGTAAGAACATGGAAGCATTGGCAGAGAGAAAGAAAAAAAACTAAACTCTTCATAAAATAATACGAGATCAACATTTTTCATAAAAAACTGCTTAATAAGAACAAACTAACGAACGCGTGTAAAGTTCCATCAGTATCTGAATTGGCCGCTAGAAATGCTTCCCCTCCAAGTCACTTATATTTGCGTAGTCTTCTAACTCCTTTCCGATTACTTTTTCTACCTGGCATAATTATTATAGTAAAACATATGAGAACTATTTATTATAGTAGTACACATGAGAATTGAAACTAAATGATTTTCTATGATGGGCAACAATGTCTGATTGTCCGAGTGCGGAAGGAAAATGCGCAGTCATTAGTAGTACGGGGAAAGAGATAATTCATGTTAAGCGTCTGGGGCTTAAAATGTATTTAATTATTACAATTCAAAGCATACCCAATTATCAATTTATAAGCATGCAATGGCGTTATGATTGAAACAATTTGTATGTATTTCTGTTCATAACCTATTTTTGAGCCACCTAACAAATGAATTTGCTTATTTATGAACATTAATATTATAAATAAAATTAATAAAAGATGTATATTAATATAATTTAAAAGCGCCGTGTTTTATGCTCCTTAGAGAGTCATCATTAATGTCCTAGTAACAATTTATGTAGACACTTTCGAGTATATTCATGTTCAACATTTGTATCATTAATTCTAAACTGCTTACTTCTTCCGAATACACCGTGTATCAGAAGGAACTTACATCTTTATCACTACGAGCAGGATTGCATATACAACGGCAGAGCTTATAAGGTGCCTGTCCTTACGCACCATGTTGAAACCAAGAATGATGAGAACCAGACCAGGTATGGTGGCAGCAACAACCTAATAACAAAAGATAAACCAGCATTTTAGTTACAAAAGAAATATAAAATTTTTAAGTTATTTAAGCAACATATTTTAATATTTTGCTAATTTACAATTCTTAATTACGATGGAAAATATTTTCTTAGATTATTATGTTATTACTATTTTATATAGTTATGGTTGTTATGTAAACATGTACATATGCATATGAATATGTATGGAGATAAGGACTAAGTTCTGAGTAAAACTCTGAAACAACTTCAGGATTTATTTTTATGGGATTCTAGGAAATTATCCGAAGCCATAAAATCTTCTAGCAATATGCGCAGTGCATGGACGTTTTTAAGATTTAATTTTTTTATTTTAATATGATCTAACTTTCATCCTATTTTTTCTGATCTCTTTCAGTTTATCAGGTTCAATGTTCCGTCTAACCTTCTTCGGGAACATGCAAGGACCTGACTCGGAACAGAGAGCTTACTAAAGCTATGTTCAACATTGTGGGAAGTAGACAGGATACACGAGAAGGGTATACAAAACCCTTTATTTTTCTCTATTTACAATAACTTCCGTACTTCGGAAATACACAGACCCGCTACTTGGGGTCAAAACGTAAAAGTATAAAAATAAAACTAAACTCTAATTTAACTTTAAAATAATAAACGTGGAAGATTGGCCTTATATTAACAGGAAGCCGTATGTAGTACAGAGAACTGTGAACACTACAATACGTTTAAAATTATCAAGAGGATTAAAACCTCTAGCCTGGAAGGCAACCAGCAACTGAGTAAACTTCTAAGGTAAGCGGCCTGCTTCGACTAACTGCTTCCTCTCCCTCGCTTGGCAAAAAGCCACAACTTAAATACTTGGCGTTCGCCAGACAAACTTTGCATAAATACATTAACGCTTATAATTCTGGCCGGAAGTAGAAAATAAGAAGTGATAGTAAAGATTTAAAATAAAATAAACGTTAGTAAAACTTAAGATCCTTACAAGTTTTGCAGCATTAAATGGGAAGTTAAGAGTCAACAGGAAGTTTCCTCAATGCAATAAATGCAAATTTTTTTTATCTATCTACATTTATAAAAGAAAGAGTTTGTCTGTCTGGTAGGTGTGTGCCTTTCGTTCGTGCTGCGCGTAAGCTAATGGACCCAGGGCTACGACATTTGATACATAGGTGCATCTAGACAAGAGCCAGTTCACCTCAAAGCGATTTTTCAAAATTCGAATGAGTTTTTTTTAATTTTATTTTATGTTTTTTGATGAAATCGCCTCAAACCGGTAATTCTCTCTCATTATATCAGATACAATGGTACGCAGTTGATATCAACTGATATGATGTTGCTAATATCAGCACTGTTGCCATTTGGAAAAATGAGGGCGATAATTCTGTGCAGTTTTTAAATTTAATGTTTCTCTTGTATACTGGACATTTGTCGAGAGAAGGCAACGGGAGGTTGGTTAATTTATTAATTAAAATAATTAATATTAGTATTAAGGGAAATGTGAAGAAATTTTTGAAGAAAATTATAAAATTGTCTCTTTATAAAATCCAGCTGTTTTAGTCACTCAGAAATTCAGATAAAGATACACAGTCTGACTTTGAAAATTTAATATTCGATTGGTAAGAAACGGAAAATTAATTTTGAAAAATGTTTTATTTATAATGACGTTCACTTTCAGCTGAATGATTATGTTAACAAATAAAATCGGAGACGTGCACAGAACCTAAAAATTCAAATCTTCACATTAAATGACAATAAAGATCGTATGAATTATCCCTATAGATCCTAATACTTTATTGTACCCATTAACACACTACATAAAACGTATTGGGCTATAAAAATTGTTGTATCTTCTAAGTAAATAGTTTGTCAAAAATTCGCAGAAGAAATCAAAGTCTATGTAAAAAAGGCTAGGGACAGTAATTTGTGCATTAAACCCAACTTCATAATGCTTACCATGGTGTTGCTTACTCGTGTAAGATGGAAATAAAATCGAGGATCCATTTTCTTGGCTGAAAACAGCATTCAGAGGAAAACAACTGCTTTAAGGGGAAAAATAATTAACTAAAAATTCCACGTATATCTACACTGAAGGACAGAATATTAAGGGGCTTTGTAAAAAATCAATAACCATGTTTAATTTAAGATCGTAAGTTCCACTTTTATGAATTGTGCAGTATTTGAGTATAAATCTAAAGCTCTTTCAACTGTAAGCTAAAACAAATTCACATTTCAGAAATTTCATACACTAAATTTATTAGTTTCTTAACTATTATAAAAAATCTGATTTAATTTTTTTGTAGTTTTCAAGGGCAGTCTTTTGCCTTCTACTATGCTACTCGGGTGACCTTATTGTTCGAGATTTGCAAGAACTACCCGTTCTCCTTTCTCCTAATAAACTTAAAATAAAATAACTTTACATATAAAGTTCCAAAGCGTCATTTTTATTTTCAAAATCCGTAGAACTGCAACAAACTGCAACAAAAATCAGATGGTTGCCATTCTTACAGTGACAAACTATGAAAAGAAAAATAACAACTGAGGCTGGGTTCTAACAATACTCCCACCTTTTGATTGATGACATATACTTAATCAATCAAAACAAAATATAATAAAAAAATACTGTCCATACAAATATTAAGGCTAAATAGATTAAATATTAAGGCAAAAGAAAAAATTAAGTTTTGAAATTTCTACTCTAAAATAACTCAAGTAGTGTTCAAGTTAGAAATCTAGATGGAATTTTAATTTGCCGTCCCCTTCTAGTCACGACAGTCTTAATGTCCTTTGATAAATCTGCAGCTGAATTATTCTTTGGTAATTTTGAGACTAAACTGTCTTCACCCTGCGTCTCAGTTTCATTTGCCTCATCTGACTCCAAAGATGAAGGTATTTCGAGAGGGAATATTCTCTGGATTGGTCGAACTAATTCTCCAGACATGGTTTTGACACGAACTACTCGAATGTTGCCGTCTTTTCCGGGGTATAGTTCAATCACTTTTGCTAGAGGCCACAACACCTTGCGTTTGTCATCACATTCGATAAGAACTATATCCCCGACTTTTATCTGTTGAGAAATCGGCACTGTAGATGGTCGTTGCACTAGCAGGCCGAGATATTCATTTCTAAATCTCTTTCTCAAGAGCTCTCGTAAATTCTGCAAATGTCTCAGTCTCTTGTTGAAATCAACTTTATCAAGATGATCCAAGTCAGGAACTCCAAAGACTGGAATTTCACCTTAAAAGAAGGACGGTGTCAAAGGGATGAGATCATCAGAGTCGTCTGACACATAAGTGAGTGGTCTGGCATTCACAGTTGCTTCGCAGTCGCACAGCACACTCATCAATTCTTCATAATTCAGACATGACTGGCCTAGGACTCGACGCAAAAGCTTCTTAATCATTTGAACAAGTCGTTCTTAAAAGCCACCCCACCATGGTGCTGCGGGTGGACTGAACTTCCAATCGATCTTGTTTGTGGCGGCTTCTATCTCAATGGTCTTCCAATTAATCGATCTCAAGAGATTATTGGACCCGACAAAATTGCTTCCCTTATCGCTATAAATTATCGATGGCCTCCCTATACGGGCAATAAATCTTCTAAGACCAAGTAAAAATCCTTGAGTTGAAAGGGACAAAATCAGTTCCAAATGGACCGCTCTGAAAACAGCACACGTGAAAAGTAAAATCCAAGCTTTTCTTTTAATATCTTCAGGTAGCTCTGCATCCCAGCTCAATTTAGTTTCCCAGCTCTTTTGCAAGTATAACTTTAGAAGGAGTGTAAAAGGGCATGTGAAACCTATTGGGTCACAAACTCTCTGTACAATTGATAGAACGTTTCGTCTTGTCACTGAAAGATCAGTCAAGTTGATATTAGGGATGTCACAAAACAAAGAATTTTCATATTTATCCCACAGAAGACCAAGTACTTTCAATGGTTCGTTCATTGTAGATTTCCCACTATTCAGTTCTGTTTGCTCCCACTCTCTTAAGTCAAAGTTAGCACTTGCCATTAACTGAGTTGATTTTGCAATAAAGTATTCTGCTTCTTCATTCGAATTCACTGAAGTGACACAGTTGTCAACATAGAAGGAATTTTTCAATTTTGTAGCCACTTCCTTCAAAGAAGGTTCACATTGGTCTAAATGAGAGTTGATCACTGCTCCTAAAAGAAATGGACTGCATTTTAGTCCGAAGACTACTCCGCAATGGCGAAATTTTCTTATTTCCTTTTGTTCTGAGTTTTTCCACCATAGGAATCTTAGGAAATCACGATCAGATCTTTGAACAGATATTTGAAGAAAAGTTCTTTTAATATCTGAGATAATCGCTATTTTTTTCTTGCCTAAATTCAAGAAGCAGTCTAGGTATTAATTCAATTAAATTTTGACCTTTTGCTAAACAGTCATTAAGTGACAGGAAATCCTTTTGCTTGCACGAAGCGTCAAACACAGGCTTTACTGCTGTTCTACAGTTATCTTTGAAGATCGGTCTGTGGGGAAAATAATGATTGTTAACTCGTTCCTCTTCTTCTGTTACTTCTTCTATTACTCCAGATTCGAGCCATTCTTCGAACACTGCTTTGTATGTTTCAAATTTATCTTTCAACATGAGCTTCTTTGTCGTGGAAATCAATCGCTTTTCAGCAACTTCTCTGTTACTTGGTAAAGCTTCTTTATCGTTGATCCAAGGTCAACTGACTTCATAGCGATCATCCACCCTCTTCAGAGTCTTGTTAAAGTGATCCCACACTGCTTCTTCTAACTCTGAGTCAGTTTTACTTTCTTTGGCATCTGCAATTCTCAGTGCTTCTAGCTTCCACAAGTTTTCTATGTCACTGCTGTGAGTCAACATCGACGTTATGGTTGAGGACATGGACAAGGAGTTTCTTTCTGAAACCTTATCTTTTATCTTTCCCATGATTGTCCATCCAAGTAGTGATTCCGCAGCAGTCAGCCCATTTTCTAATTTCTGAATTCTTCCGGTTAACAGAACACCTGCGACGTCAGCTCCAATAAGAACTTCTATTTTCAAATCCTTTTTTCCTACATCAGATGCATGGATATTCTTCTGTCTTAGTTCTTCTATCCATGGTCCAGGCTGTAAACTGACTACTGGTCCACAAATCTTCAACTGTTCCGACAAGATTAGTCGTCTAGAAAAATCACCTCTTAGGCTTCTAACGTTCACTTCATAGCGTTTGTGAATTTCTCTCTTTGTTGTTACTCCTCCAAAAAGTGCATGGATTAAAAATTCAGATCCAATTGCGTGGCAACCCTATGTCTACATCAGTCTCCTTTAATATGTATGAACGTTGCGATCCTGTATCGATAAGTGCCCTTACTGTCTTCTGCTTTTGTTTGCGTCTATATTAATTAATAGTGTTTGAAGAAACCACTTCATCTCTAGGAAATTAGTGCTTGCGCAAGTGATACGTTTTGTGTTTTCTCCTTCTTTATTCTTTTCAATATCATTGCTCTTTTGATTGGGGGGCAAATCCAGGACACAATGATTTGTCTTTTCGATGCCCAATGTCTTTTCGAGCATATCAAACATCGTACATTTGTCTTGCATTGCTTGGCTCATGTGTCCAATTTTGAGGCAGAAGAAGCAACCCTTTCTTTTTCTTGATTTCATCATTCTTTTGACTCAGAGGCATCTTCTGAGCAACAAAGCAATCTCGACTTTCATGAAATTTTTCACAAAATATGCAAGAATTCTTCTCACTATAATTGGTTGCTTTATTTTGGCCTGAGAATAAATCATTTGCTGTAGGCACGAAATGTTCACTCTGGTACTTTTTATCTTTTCTACTTTCTTTCTTGGCACCCGAATCAATAAATTTAAATCCAGCTTTTGCCAAAGAAATTCTCTGCTCTCCTTCCACTTCCTTCTTTAAAAACAATAATAATTGTTTCAATTTCTCAGAGTGAGAATTTTCTGCTGTAATTATTGATGCATAATTTCTAATCCAAACTCGTAAATTTCCTCAGGAATGCAAGATTCCACGAGCGGAAACAGCATTGCAGCGTATTTATCGCTTGTCATTCCTATTGACTCCAACGAACGCAAATACGACTCTAACTTGTCATACAATTCTGATATACTGCATTTTCCCTTTTGATCAGTGACATTTTTAATAATCAAAGCTAATAATTCCCGAATATAGAATTCTACCAACAATTCTTCCCTGCCAAACCTATTTTTTAAACTTTCTATAACTTTTTTATAATTTTCGGCAGCTGCAGGGAAGCTGTTTACAATATCCCGTGGTCTCGTACCGGGTACGGTCGTTTGAACGAGTTAATGCATCTTATCTTCGTTTTGAATTTCTTTATCTTCATGTATTCGCCGAAATTGTCCCCAAAACGGTAACCAATCTTTAATTTCACCACCGAATTGTTTTAACTCTATTTTAAGTAATTTCAGTTTCCGTTTGTTCGAATTCGGCGGAATAGTGCTAGTAGATTGTATCATTTAGCGATTGAAGAATAATTCCGTTTTTACTCGTATTAAATCTAATTTTTTCTTTGTATTCTTCAATTTCCGCCCATTCATTTTCAAACTGATCATTTGAAGAAAATTCTGAATTTAGTATTTGAGTATCAAATGCATTAAGTTCAACAGATAAACATTCTAAAGTAACAAGTTTCGTTTTTATAAATTCTTCATGAAGAATTTCCTAATTCCTGCAAAATTGCATTAATTGTTCTCGTAAAAGACGCTCTGACAGGTTTTCGTTTCTCAATTAACGATTCCATTTCAGTAAAATAAATTCAATAAATTCAAATAGAATTAAATTCGATAAAACCAATAAAATTGCCTTCACTTGTTTTACCGATCACTTCCGTCGTCACCAAAATTGTTCGAGATTTGCAAGAACTACCCGTTCTCCTTTCTCCTAATAAACTTAAAATAAAATAACTTTACATATAAAGTTCCAAAGCGTCATTTTTATTTTCAAAATCCGTATAACTGCAACAAACTACAACAAAAATCAGATGGTTGCCATTCTTACAGTGACAAACTATGAAAAGAAAAATAACAACTGAGGCTGGGTTCTAACACTTATAACCACGTTTACTCGGATACTTACATGAATTGGTTGATGCAAGACAGGAGGAACTTTTCCCTTAAAAATGAGATTTAGCAATATTCCTGTCAGCGTTGCTATTACGATAGGACTTTTAATGACATCTTTGATGAGCTTGATCATCTTCTTCCGCGGTAATCGTTTTATCCACTGTTCAGAATCTTTAGTCTCCTGTTGGCTGACTTGCTTTCTTTTGTACTTGTAATATTCAGTCATGTAATTACCAATCGGAATGATGAAAATTGTTGTCATTGATGGCATCAAAAATAAGTACTTCATCATATGAGAACGAAAATCTTTGTACAAGGAAGACACTGTAAAAAAAAAATTGAAATATTTCAAGTAAATTTGACAAAGAGTAAAAATGTATATTCATGCACAAATCATTGAAATTAATTCACTTATGAGCTTATTGTATAATCTAGAAGAAAATATAGGATATCCTTTATTTTATAATCGAAATACGTCACAATGTTTTTCAAAAGCACGAAAGAATGTCAGATTTTACTTTTAAAATTCTGTCAATAAATTTGCTATAAAACTAGCATAAAAGTTTTTTTTCGTTTAAATATTTCTTGTCGTTTCTACAGGGCTCTCTATTTATCTGTGTTTTATGTATGCTTTGTGTTTATGTTAGCGTCATTGATTTACAGCAGTAGTGTTTTGTGTAATTTACCTATTTTAAATGCTTTAATCTAACAAGCATTACAAAAAACAAAACTTACATATATATCAGAGAAAATACGAGGGTGTTGGGAGCGAAACTCATTGCTTAATGACTACTCTGGAAGAACAACAAAAATATACCGTCAGGAACAAAAATAAAATGTAAAATTTCTATTCAAAATTCCAATTGAGTCTTTGAGATTGAATTCCGTTTTATTATGCTGCCAGAGATCTTTGTAGCATATCTCCTAACAGCCAGTTTCAAGGGTCAAATAGTCGAAATAGTTGACTGCAGTTGAGACTTGGATAATCAACTTAAAATGTTAAAAAAATAGGGCTTCTTAACCTTAGACATGTTTATAACTTAGCTTGTTTTCACCATTTTGTGTTACGTTACAATAATAAAACATTTATCATTTATCTGCCTGAAAAGTTGCCAGTTTTAAAGAGTGTTATTATTTGATTAACAAAAGTCTTTAAATTATCCTTCGAATTAAACAATACATAGCTTAAGTAACCAAGCAGTTTAAAAGAAACACAATAGTCCTCCGTACACAATAGTCTTTTTTTTAATAATATATTTAACTGATTAAATTCATATGCTTCTAATTTGTGTGATCTGTAATTCATGTCATTAGTAATTTTCTTACACTTTCATTATTACTGCAATTTATAAAATTTAACCGTAACTTCCTATGTTATATGTCTCAGTACAGTATATTATTTTGTGCCCCTTCACAAAAAGTTTTCTTTTTGAAATATTTTTCATAGAAAACGCGAAGACGTAGACTTATAAAACGCCCATTCCTCACAGATAGCATTTATCTAGTTCATTTCTTAAAATACTGGCTTACGTTTCACATGCGCGTCATCGTACCATGTAGATAGGTCCTACAGATAGCACATGCCGATAGTACATGTCGTACTATGCAGATTTTGACACTGTAACTATTTCCATCAAATACATTTTGATTTCTTTGCTTACGACAACAGTTTTTGAATGCTTAACTTTAAAGGAGAGTAAAATGTTTCCTGGAAAATTTTATTATAAGAAGTTTTAATATCATTACACAATAATCTTTACTCACTCAGTGGACATCCGACTGGCAAGTCGTTGCTATGAACACAGTAAAGAGCTACCAAGCCTGCCAGTCCGATATTTCCAGTCAATAAAAGGCAAAATCCACAAACTACGGCAAAGATTAAGAGCTTCCCAAGTAGCAAACCAATTATCAGTTCCCAATAGAAGTCACTGAAGTCAGAATCTGCAAGTGTGTCCCAGACAATGCCTGGTAAACCAAAATAAGTGGCGAAAACTCCGATTCCTCTCATGTCGCTTGCGGATATCAGCTCGAACTTCGCTGTCACGTACCTGAAATCAAAATAGTAATTATAAATACTTATTTTCTCTAATAAATACGTTTTTTTCTTCTGTTGCATATATTTCTGCTTTAAATATGAATGATTAAGATGTAACTCTTTAATTATTTCCTATTAACTGCCGTGACGTATACAAAAAACAAGTTTTTTGATACAGCTATTTGACTTTAATGTATAATTACACCACCCATGCCAACAAAAAGCTTTCAAAAAGGTTCCAAGCCTAAGTTAGTAATATAAAACCCTGGTCTTTCAGATCCGTTTATTTGGCCGCATCGTATAACCGAAGTTTAACAGCCTAGCGGATAAGATAGCCGAACACTGGAAGTTTGACTTGTGTTCAAATCTCAGCAAGCGATTTGGCTGCGTGACAGTTTCCATGGATTCCGTATTCTTTACATGAAAACGACCCAGTTTCCCTTACACTAAAGATTATTTCTTTAATGACTTTAATCCCTTCCATTAAAGTCATTAAAGAAAGGCCTCCCTCTTTTTATGCAATTTTCGGTTATTTTGTTATATATTTATTATACAAGATATTCTGTTTGTTACAAGCAGAGTAATCCAGATCCAATCATTTAATCGAAACCTTATCAAAGGGCTAAGCATATGCGATGCTGAATTGAAAAATGAGAAATGAATAATCTTTATGAGAAGCTTCAATGAATAATTTTTAATGAGAATGATTGCTTACCTAAATAAAAAGGAAATTTCAAAAACTGTGTTATGTCTGTACAGCAAGCAGTAAAAGCTATTAATAAAACATCTAATAACGGTGAAATTAATAATAATCCTAACAATGATAAATAATCTTTAAAATCAAATGCAGTTAATTAATAAATGAAATTTCAAAGAAAAATCAAGTTGTTTATAACGGTGTACGAGCAAGCGAACCTCGGTGTCTACTTAAGATAAATACACCTTCTGAAGGAAACGTGTAAATGAGGCAGGTTTCGAACCAAACTTGCCTCATATACACGGTGAATATATATAACGTAACCTTGTAAAAGGGGTAAGTCATGAAAAAGCTCGGTCACCAAGATTTCAGTTCAAATTGCGCTAGTAGTGTCATCCATTTGGTCATCTATTGGATAAATTTCCAAGGATGATGACAGCCTTCAAAATTAAATTTAAACTACTGAAACCTAGAGCAAAGGACAAAAACTTAATTCAGCAGAAGCTCTGTCTAAACAAAGTTATGTAAATTAGCGAAAACTATACCATAGTTGTTTGCTATTTTCTGAAGAAATTTTGAGATTTAATAATACATTTAATTGCCTTCAATATACTTTGCTACTCAGTTTTCTGCTAAAATTAACTTGCGTCTGAGCTTGTAGAGGAAATATGCAGAATTATAATTGGATTAGCGAAAGACTATAGAGGGGTGTATTTCAGTTCTTTCTAAACGCCACGATTCATTTGGGATATGTCAAATGCTGAACGAGTAAATGGTTCAAAGTTGAGTGAAAGGTTCAATGCATTTAATTTGGTTTTGCAAAGCAATCTGTCTAAGGAAAGGAATACCTTCGTGAAGGATTTCGTAAGGGGAACTGACGTGTTTTTATCTTACGCAGAAGGAAAATCACAAAAGTGTCCCCTTGCGCTTGGAATTAAACTCAAGTAATATTAATGTTCAACGACTTTACCTGTCTTTCGATGATGAGCTGTATAAGAATGAATAAAACAAGGAAGAATGCAAGGAATTGTGCAAGGAAAAGTTCAGTTGATTGTCGGAGATTTTAACGCAAGAGTTGTAGAAAGACTGATAATACTAAGAAACCTGTGTACAGGATTCTACAGCAGGAAAGATTAAAGTGTTACAGTTATATACAATACATGTGTAGGATATAATTAGTTTCATTAATATGCATGCCCAGTCAGTTAAATAATGCATTAAGTGTAATAATCAATTAGCACATGCAAAGGGTAAATAATACACAACAAGTAAAACGATGAACAGAATTATTTAAAATTAAATGGAAAATGCGACATGCTTACTTTAAAAAAATACATTATCCTAAACCATATATAATTAACTCAAACACACGCTATCATATAAAAAGTGGCTCACAAAAAAGGAATTATCCAAATGAGAGAAAAATCTTAAATGGGATGTAAATGTATTGAAAACAAAACGTTAACCGTATCAAAGCAATTTAATGTTTTGTTGAGGAAAGACAGCTGTAAGAAGTAAAAGAAGAAGAAAATAAAATCAATACTGCATTGGCACACTGATATCCATCTGGGGCCTTGATGCAAACTGATATCTATCTAGGCGTGTATTTGTAGATTTTGCGAGCGTTTAACCTGGCGGGTTACATCGGCACGAATCAGGGACGGTCGGAGGCATCTTCCCATCAGAGCACAAACGTGCTTTATTGGGATATATCGCGAAATTGCGCTGGCCAGGGAAGTATTAAAAAAGCGCGAAGACAAGGTTTGTTTTGGCAAAGCAATCTGTCTAAGGACGAAGACGTGCCATGAGTGACCGTGCATTTATATCCTGCTGAAATATAATCCTAGGGATCTGTGAAAAGAAGGGCAACGTCAACAAACCACCGTTCTATAAAGACGTCACGAATGACAACCAAAGGGGTCCAACTATAAAATGAAATGGCTTTGAGAGTATAATTCCTATTTTTGGGTGGCTTGGCAGACGACAGATAAGTAACCCACCGCTGTCCTAGTCATCTCCAGGCACTTGTTCATTGGTCATTGCTTCTGTAAAACATTCGTTGGTCATTAGTTCTGCAAAACTCGCGAAACTGAGCCAAGTGGTTGCGCTATACATAAGTTACGGATTAGAATTCTTAATTTGATACTTTCGTCAGTATACTGGCTTGCAGCAGGAGATAGTTTTCCTTGCTACAGTTAAATATATCCTCTAGATGAGGCGAATTTGTCAGGGAAGAAGTTTTGAGCACTAAATATATCCTCTAGATTTGGTGAATTTGTCGAGAAAGATGTTTTGAGCACTAAATATATCTCTAGATAAGGCGAATTTGTCGGGGAAGACGTTTTGAGCACTAAATATATCCTTTAGATGAGGTGAATTTGTCAAGAAAGAAGTTTAAGTCTCTTAAAAGCAGACCGAAGGCTTGAGATCTAGTCAGGTGAATTCCTTCGAATAATCCTAAGCTGTGGGTTTATTTGCAAACTATATACAACGACCACTCAAAATGCACAGAAAAAATGCGTTCCATATGATGAAGACGAGAAAGAGTCTTTAAGAAGCACAATTTTGGTACAGAAAATTGTTAGTGCACAGAAGTATTGTGTTGTCATTGGTTATCGTGGTCACATCGGTTTGAGTGAAGCAAATAAGCAGCATAAGGTCTAATAAGTATAACCTCCTCGAGAATCTCATAGGTCAGGATATCAGCCAAGTTTGCAGGGTTGTTCTTTATTGATCTATTAAAGACACTTTCATTTATCCTGGTGAGGAATTTTTTAATGGATTCCATCTTCTAATATGAGTGCAGGCATTTGCTGTGAATGAAATAGGGAGCGTTTGTGATGATCCTTAGTGCTTTGCTTTGGAGAACCTGAAGTTGTTTTAGTGTCCTTATCGCTGAAGTTGGCCCGAGGGGGGGAATAATTAGCAGAATTGATCTAGGAATCTAGGCTCCAAAGAGCTAGGTTTCGAACTTAGGAGTCTTTCTTAATAGCGTCGTTCCTGCGGAATTTTCTGATTAGGAGAATTTTTGACTTTTTGGGTTGGATGCTAATTTTCCACTTGCTACACCAACACTCGATGATAGGGATTTTTTCCTGAATTTTGTGTAAATCTTACTATTTGGTTGTTAGAGTTTATATTTTTCTGCATTAAGTAGTAGAGAAATAGAATAGTCCTGCCAGTCCAAATTTACATACCATAGGAGTGAGGATAAAACTAACAACTACACGTGTGAAACTAGTGTACAAATGCTTGATAAAATTTGGATCGACAAAGCTATGACTACTGATTTAGTAGATAGAGATTAAGTGCGTCTTTGATATCGTTTTACCTTTTTTGCGGTTTTACAAGTCTGCACTGAATAGGAGGATTTACGAATAAGAGTGGCTTAGTGTGGCCCGCTTCTTTTTAACTGTAATATTTTTTCTGTTACAAAATGTTTTAGTTTTATGGTAGATATATATTTATAAGCCGATATTCGAAGAATTTATATTAATAGTATTTTACTCATCTACTTGATTATGATATCAAAGTTTGCTACTTAAAGAGAGGGCTATGAGATAAATTAAAAGATTTCTTTTTGAGAAATTAATGGTAGCAACATGACAAGAAAGCATATCAGTGAAGTTAAGATTTCGTTGTATTTTGTATCATAATGAATATAATTGCTGAATTGTAGATAACACCTACTTAAATACGAGAAAAAGTAATGGCGTAGTATTATTATAATTTCGGTATTTAGTTTTTATTCTCAGATTATTATTTTCGTATCATCAATATTTGTATAAATCTAGAAATTCTCGGACTTCTGTTATTTTGTAAATCTTATTTCAGGGATAAACTTTTATAAATTTGATAACCAACTCTACATTTCTTTCTTAAAACTACTTGGCATCGTTAAATTCTAAATAAATTCATATTTAAATAAGAAGCCGCCACATCTAGTGTAATAAATCCAATTTACGCAAGAAGTTATCTGCCACGTCCAGAGGAAATGTAACATAAAGATTATATGAAACCTTTGTATTGTTCTCTTATCACAAACTTGGAATCTCTATTTTTTGTAGCATTTAATGTTATACTCGTCATTTAATGTCTCTGATTTTATTGGCAGCGGCATACGTCAAAGGAAAATTGTCATCTGGTCTTAATAAATATTTTTTTCGTGATGGAAGATACTACTTGCTTCAACTCCAAGGTCAAACGTGATCTTTTTCGTTTCACCTGTTATACAACAGGGAAGTTTTTTTCTCGTGCTTTCTTCGTAAAGATCACTTCAAGACTTAAATAATTCCCTGATGCAATCAGTTCATGAC